GTTTCTGTTTGGGAGGTGCGTTATTACCTCTAACTCGCCTCAAGGCGGGAATTTTAGATGTTTGCCTGTCTCTGCATCTTGTTATTTCGCTTTCAGGCAACCTCTCGGTTTTGTTTTCATCTCGGGGAAGAAAAACTGTAGGAGTTTGAGGAGGAATCTGTAAACGCTGAAGCGCGCCAGTTCTGTGCTTCAGGTGCTGCGGCTTTGCGGAGCTGTGCCAGGTGCCGGGGGACCGTAGAGTTTGGGAGAGTTGTGAAACTTTTTTTCAGTTTTGTTTTTTATTTTTTTCTGGGTGTTTTTTTTTTTTTTTTTTTGAAAGGCCTTTGAGTCAGGCATAAAGCAAATGCTTGGCAGTCTTTGCAAGTTACGTTGGCGGTGGGTGAAAGAATATATCAAACTTCAGCTTTAAGTGTCTTCTGTATTTATTTTCAAGTAACTGGCTTTTCTGGCTGTGTAAAAGAACTTTGTAGAGTAGAATATAGTCTTAAACACGATTTATAAAACAGAAAAGCTATATGGCTATAGCACATACAGGCCCGATATGAAATTATTAAAAAAAAAATTCTCAAGAAAGGTTTTTTATGGGGCTTTTCAGTTTGTATTTCCTGTCACTGGACTTAAAATAGCATGATGTAATTTGTAAGTATATGAAAAAATTCGGGTTCAGTCTCCCTTCTTTGGAAGTTATCATCTCTAAGCAGATTGGAGGCTTGTGATGAATGAAGCTCCTCAGTAAAATCTGAGTAGACAGATCACTCCTATTAAAAGTAGTACATCTGTTTGTATTCAGGATCCAGATTAAACATTTTTAAAGAATATGCTCAAAAAAGCAAAGACCGGTAGGTCTCACAGGCTTTTACAGGTCAGCCTTAGATATATAGGGAATGTGGGGGTAAGGAGAACTTCTCAAATAACAGTACTTTATTATCTCATTTTGAAAAAAAGTGGGGGTTTTCTGTTTTTCAATTTTTTTATACTTATTTTTTTCTTTATTATTTGTAATTTCATGGGATGTTACATATATGTACTGTATTTGTCTTTCCTGTTAATCAAATACTGTGTGACATGTAACTATTTAGAAACCAACTAACACAGCTTTTTTAAAAAACTTGTGTTGATGTGCACTGGCGGGAACCAAATGATAACGTGAAAAACATGTCCTGTTTTTTTGCTAGGTGGTGTCTTGCTAAACCCCACTGACACTGAATATCACACTTGTTTTTTGAGGATTGGATGCCTTTTGTTAGCCTCCCTTGTGCATCAGGAGAAATCGATCATCCTGGACTTCAAGAAATTGTGCCATGTATTAGCATGCTTTACTTATATTTTTAACTCATTTTGTGTGCTTGAGACACAACAAAAGCAATACATTATATGTGCAACTAAAATGAGGTTGAGGGATTGAAGTAGTTAACAAAGTGGATTAGAGAAACATGATTTCTGTTGAAAGTAAGTCTTGATTTAAAAACAACCTGTAATTCCTGAAGTAGTGGAAATGATGTATGATTGATTAGCTGCTTTGCTTTAAAACTCTTCTAGAGTATAAAAGCACATCCTACATAGACAGGCTTGCTGTTCTGACAGACTGTGATGGTGTTAAATGTGGAAGGTTGCCGATTTTAACATGGCCATGTTCACTAGAGGCCAGAAGGTGGCATAGCTCCTCATGTGTCTTAAGCAGATCTCAGAGCACAGGCAGCTAGCTCACCTAGTCATGATTTATTCAAAGGTGGGTTTTATTTTATCTTAGTATACAGTAGTTTCAAACTCAGGATGAAAGAAATACAAAACATTCCAGATTTTATTTGATCTTTATTTTCTAATATTGAGGGAGAAGAGGGAAAAGTAGAGAAATAAGCATGAGGCAAACTTTGTACGAAAGGACAGGGCAGGAATAGATTAAAATTGTAAAAACATACACACTGACATGTTTCTGCAATCACAGTCTTATGCATGTTGAAACATTTCTTGGAAGGGACCTCTGGAGGTCATCACTGCTGGCTCCCTGCTAAGAAGGGGGCTTCTACCAGCATTGGATTAAACCAGTAAGACACTATGCTGGCTGGATGTTGAGAATCTCCAAGAATGGAGGTTCTACAGCCTCTGGGCAGCCAGTGCTGCAGTACCCTCTGTCATTTTTTTTTTTTCCTGAAGTCCACTTTGAAGTTCCCAAGACAGAACCTGTGGCTGTTGACCCTTCTTATATCATCTTGGAACACTAAGGAATGTTTAAGTTGTAAATATTCTTCAAGTAACTTTAAGCTACTTCTGTTTGAACAGAAATGTTTTAATGTGAATTCTCCCACTTCAGATGAGGAAGTAATTCCCTTGAGAGGTGTAGTTTTTCATTGTTTATAAATAAAGCTTGGATTGTATGTATGTAAGGGCCACATGAGACTTGGAAATGGATGATTTTTTTTTCTTCTTCCCAAACTGAGTTAGTTTTTATTTGTGTTCAGGCCATTAGCAATGAAAATGTACAGTCTAAAGAAGGTATTTAGTAATGAACCATCTGTGAACTGGAGTCACTACACACTTGGAATACTCAATGGCAAGTGTTCTTAGTTCATAAAACTGATACTGACTAAATATTTATTTTTCAAACCTCACATTCAAATTATGTCATACTTCATGTTATAGTCTGAAAGTATTTTATTTTGCTTGATCTTCACAGCTAAAACCTTTATGCTGACAACAAACAACCTAGAACAATGGGAGTGACTAATCTGTGGCAAATCCTTGACCCTGTGAGACAACCTGTGAGCTTGAGCAGTCTCAAAGGAAAAACGCTTGCTGTTGATTTAAGTTTGTGGGTTTGTGAAGCTCAGACCGTTAAAAAGATGATTGGAGTAGTTACCAAGCCACATCTGAGGTATGGTATCCATATAATTTATTGCAGCTAAATGTCCTGGAGCTGTATAATTTAGATGTGGTACTTATTCCAAGTTTAAGACTACCTCCTAAATTAATATGGCTGTGGTTTGATTCTGTTATTATTGCTTGTGCTACATGTGTAAAGGGTTTGAAGGTCATACTGGCTGAACTTAATGCTCCAGTGCAAATAGAAGTTCTTGGGCCCTGCCTGCTTTGTTTGGAGGCCTCGACTGTATATAAGGACGAGATGGACATAAGCAGAACCACGTTTGTCTTATTGTGGCAGCACTGTGTGATATACAGGTTATCAAGGAACACAAGTCAGTGTGCCAATTCCTATGTATTTCTGAGGCTGTGTGATGGAAGGTAGTATGGGAGTTTGAACTGTTTGTCAGAGCAGTTTGAATGCTGGTCAATTCAGAACGTACTGAGAGTCACTCATGTTGTAGCCTGATCTGGCTTATAAATGAAAATTCTGGTTAGACCCCATGTTGAATTAAATATGTTTAAATCATTCTTCAGGCTTATAAACAACCTTGAAGAATATGTATATTTTTAACTTAAGTGAATCGCATACTTAAGGATGAGCAAGTATAAGCAGCTGTAACTTCAAAGAACTGTTTTCTGCAAATGATGCTGACAAAAATGAAAATATATACAAATTTTCATAAATGACCTTTTACTGGTTAGCTCAATAATACTGAGTTACTAGCTGTGGTTAGATGTTCCTGCATCTTCTGTTGAATTCAGCGGATATGAAATATCAGAATCTTCAGAGAAAAATTTCTTAAAATGTTATTGTTATGACTCCAAATGGATAATTAACTAAAACTTGAAGCATAACCAAAGTCATTACTTTCCTCTGATAGGATATCCTGTGTGCAGCAGGATGGAACCATCAGTCCAGATCTTTTATGGAGTCTTTCCAAAGCAAGACAAAGGGATGAACAGATTTCTATCAAAAAAGGAAGTGTTTTCAGACAGTTGAAAATCAAATTATTTTACTAAGTATTTTAGAGAAACTTATTGTAAGTGGTAGATTTGTATATTATTTGTGAAAATAGAACTAGCCTCAAAAGACCATCTTGTCCTTTTTTGCTAATAGCAAATATACAAAATTAAATGTAGAGTAATGGTCTTTCCGTGTCGATAGAAAAGATATGTTTAGTCTACTCTTTTTCAAAGATTGATCCTGGAATTACTGGAAAAAGCATATGCTGTTTGGTATTACTGCTCTCAATTTTACTGTCACAGACCATATAGCTGTTTTTGCTCCCTTGCAAAATTCCACCCATCAGTGATGCTGGTTTGCATATGAAATAAGTTGTCATGGTGATAGTATCTATGAGTCTGTCTAATACCACAGTATTCAGTCACTTCAGAATCTGTATTGACAGATTTGAGATTAAAATTTGATATAAAAGAATAAATACGGATATGTGTTTGGAACCAGACTTTGGATATTTAATTTTTTTTTACGAAGCCTTTTAAATTTACTTATGTCTTTACACCTAAAAAGATCTTTCTTGTCCTATGTGGTATTTTCTTGGGAATTTTGTAAAGCTGTTACAGATTCATAATAAAACAATTTCAACTGAAGATGGTGATATAGATAAAAGATTTGTTAGCTTGGATCTGAGGAAATCATAACAAGTGGAGAGAAAGCTAGGATTGTTGCTGAGGTAGGCTGAGGGATATAAGGAAAACATCTGAAGAAATCAGGCTTCACTATTTCAGTAGCTTATGGAACACCTTGCTTTATTGCAGAAACCTATTTTTTCGGGTCTCTTTCTTTACATCAATGGGAATTAAACTAGTGTTTGTCATGGAAGGAGAGGCCCCCAAGTTGAAAGCAGACACCATGAGTAAGAGGAACGAGACGCGCTATGGGTCTTCGAAGAAAGTTGGAGCTGGAAGAACAGGGAGATCTTTGTTTAAAGGCATTTTAAAAGAGGTGAGTAACTGAGGGCTGTGTTTCAGTATTTTTAATGTGATAGGAAGCAAATACAAGAACTTGAAAGAATTAATTGTTTTCTACACAACAAATTTCAACAGTATTTTGAGTTTTGAGGGAACAGATGCCTTTGAAATTGGACTTTACAAAATCTGTTAACTGTTGTTGTAGAAGAGGGACAATGTCAGTTAGAATAATTTTCTTGTTTGATGCGTTCCTGTGCACGTTATGCTGTAGTGAGCCATAGTCATAATTGTGTGTTTGTTGCGGAACTTCAACTTCCTTGTTCTTTAATAGTGTTAATATTGGTACTTTTTCCCCCCATATATGTGTAAACAGGAATGTGTTGTGTATTTACATAATCTAAGATAGTGTGTTTTTGAAGGGGTACACAGAACTGTTTTGTAACATAGATCTATAATTTGGTAAACTAGCTGAATAGCTAAGAAGATGCACTTGTTGGATTAGGCTGAAAGGAAGATGGTATAGGCATCTTGGTACAGGTGATTGAGACAACTCTGGTTGCAAAGAGCTCCTATTCAGTAATTTTCTTATTCATTGTTGCAGATATTTAGCCATTTTTGTCTGTTCAGAATTTTGTGAAATAGTATTTATAGACGCTCATGGCTTCAGTAGATTGTATCAATTCATACTTTATTCTTAAATTCTAAAGTAAACTCTTTTTTGTGGAATTTGTAGGAAGTACCTATGAGTATATATCAGTATGTCTTATACTGTGGTCCAGTCTTACTAGGCTGACAGTACTGTACTTTCATGCTTGATATTCTTGGGGAGTCCAGCATCTGTTGAAAGATGTCTGTGCTAGCCCAGTATTACTACCTGAGTAAACAGTTTTGCTTCACAAAGATAAATATTCCTTTGTTACTCTTCTTTTGAAAACATCGTAAATACCTGTTTAAAGTGTAAAGATTTTTTGTGAAGGAGTAATCGTTAGTCATGCTGTGTTCAAGTCTTGCAACTAACTTTGCTCTTAGTTGAATATGTCTTTTGACTTTTACAGTAAACTGTATTTCTCCTAAAGTAGTGCTTGTATTGATGTATCATTCTATAGGCAGTGCGACAGTAGCAGTTTTTGTATACTCTTATGTCTGAGAAAATGTTAATGAGTGTATCTAATTCAGTGTTCAATCTCTCTTTGCTTTTGTATTCCTTCTTCTAGTGTCTCGAACTGCTGGAGTGTTTAGGTGTCCCTTGGGTTCAAGCAGCCGGGGAAGCAGAGGCAATGTGTGCCTACCTAAATGCAAAAGGACATGTTGATGGCTGCGTTACCAATGATGGCGATGTCTTCTTATATGGAGCTCAAACAGTTTATAGGAACTTTGCCATGAATGCTAAGGTAATGTACCTCATCCTGTTCTCACCCTCTCTTTAGACTCTTTCAAAAAATGTAAATAGAAAGAAGGCACTTGAAACAATTGTTTGAATATTATTGCACTTACCATCTAGTAGTTTCGTTTGTTTAAAATAGTACATTTAAGACAGGAATGTTTTGTTTGATTCACTGGCAATCCATGTTTTGTATGCGAGAGCAAAAGTATTGAAGTAAAGAACACTTATGGTATTATTGTCTGTGTTTGTAGTGACTTGTGATATGTGATATACAGCTTAGTGGCAATCTCTTTTTTCCCTCGTTTCTTCCACTATAGTGAAGAATTTGAGTAAAGTAATTGCTTCCTATAATTTTACCATTACGGCATATGGGAGTGGTCAGCCTAATAACACTGTTCACACACTTGCATTGTACAGGTTTGTTTCCTTATGAATACACTACAGTTAACACTACTAGTCTCCAATTGAACGTGAATAGGGTAAGGATTGTACATCTGTATCAAGATTGATTGTTGCAGTCTTTCGAAAAACAAATCAACCTATGACCTTGAGCTGAAGTGTTCATTTATTAGGAGTGCAATTTTCCAGAACTGGGGAAAGGCAACCCCAAATTTCCATAATTTATACTTTCTCTATAAATCTGAGAAAAGAATATATGTGTTCTGTCTGGTGAATCTAGCAAGAAAGTGGAGGAAAAATTATATTGGGGTTGTAATTTTAAATAATGTTTATCTGGAAGACATGTTGAGAAAATACTTCAGTAATAAGAGAAAATCAATAGAACAGAAAAAAGCACTGGGAACAATTAACTTGAAAAAAAAAAGTTGGTGGAAGATCGTCTGCTTTGATGGCACTGTGTTTGGGTTCTGTCTTGACCTGGTTCTTTTCTTTTGCCCAACTTCCTTGTCAGTTAATAACCAAAAATGAAGGTGGCCTCATTCTTTCAGGTAAACTTTGTTACATATCTAAGTCAACATAAACCAATTATTCATGTGAGCATACATCTGTCAGGGGCATCTGTTTCAGAAAACTGGATTATTGTGGGTTGTTGGCTTGTGTGGGGGGTTTTTTTGTCCTTTGGGAGCCGGGGACAGTATCCTGTGTTTTGATTCATGTTAATCTTGATCTCATGTTGTTGTGTTTGGGTCCCTCTACCCTTCAAAGCTTCAAGTGTTTCTTTAGCTCATGTTTAATATGCTAGGTAACATTTTAATATACACTTATACACTTTAATATGTACTTATACATATGGTGTCCATGCATTGCAGTATAAGACCCCTCTTACAGGATAGACCCATTTCCTGCAGGTATGGGTGAATAGGGGTGGGTAAGCAATCACAACTGCAGGTGACTCAGGGCAGTTCCTTCGCTGATGTTACAGAAGTAACATGCGTGATAAATTTCTCTTGCAGGATCCACATCTTGACTGTTACACAATGTCCTCGATTAAGGAGAAGCTTGGTTGTGACAGAGAGTCTTTGATTGGACTAGCTGTTCTTCTGGGTTGTGATTATCTTCCAAAGGTAAGCAACAGAATTATTTTTATTAGGTATTTAAGCTGTCTTGAAAAACAAACTATATCAAGGGGCATGTGTGCATGCTGACAAAACTGTATGCAATGCATGATTACTGAGATCTAGTTGAACAAGATGGTTAGTAAGTCGCTGTAAATAGTATTTGTGAAGGCTTCAAGATAATCAATGTTTCATTAACATTAATCTTTCTAAAACTGTTACGTATTCCATATTTTTTTTTATAATGGAGGTGAAGACAAAAAGTGTGAGAACTCACTTGTTTGTGAGGGTGTTTTGTAGCCATTCACATATAAGTACATCCCTGGCAGAGTAGCTGTGGAAAATGAGAAAAACAGCTTTGTCTGTGCTGTTTGGACAAAGTAGTAATGATTGTTTTGAACTGTAGTTATTAATAATGTCAGTTCTGGATGCAGTTTGGTTGTGTCCCCTTTTAGTTCTATTGTTTGTGAATACATGGTTTATGAAGAAGTCACGTATTTGGAAGTTTGCCTAATGAATGAAATGAGAGACAATGTCAAACGTTTTCAGGGATGGGGCACATATCACCTCTCTGGGTAACCTGTTCCAGTGTTTTACCACCCTCACCATAAAAAAAAAGTCTTCCTTATATCTAGTCTAAATCTACCCCCTTTTAGTTTAAAACCATTACCCCTTGTCCTATTGCTAGAGGCCCTACTAATAAGTCTGTCCCCATCTTTCTTATAAGCCCCCTTTAAGTATTGAAAGACAGTAGTAAGGTCTCCTGGAGCCTTCTCTTCAGGCTGAGCAACTCCAACTCTCTCAGCCTGTCTTCATAGTAGAGGTGTTACATCCCTCTGATCATTTTTGAGGCCCTCTTCTGGTTGTTTTGAATCAGGTATTACTACAAAGTTATGGATTTCAGTCCATGAGCTAGGTTCCAAAAAATGAACCTCTAAGGTCAGTTTAGACAGGGCTCTGAGCAACCTGATCTAGTTGAAGGTGTCCCTGCTTTTTGCAGGGAGGGTGGAGTAGATGACCTTTGAAGGTCCCTTCCAACCCAAACCATTCTATGATTCTATAAAAGTATTTGCTGTTCCTGTCTTTTTTCCATAGTGGTAGTCCCTTTTCCTATAAAGGACATGCATACTACAGATGTAATAATGGAGTATGTACGAAAATCAAGCAAACAATTATTGAAAGGGAGGGAAGGAATTTTTTGGATTTGTGGTTTTATTGGGATTTTTAATTACTTTTCAGAAAATGCTCTTGCACTTTGTTACCTCTTAAAGTTATTTTGCATAAGTGCTTGAGGTCTTCAAATACTAAAAGTTATTTCTCTTGCCATAATACATCTCTTTCCTGTGAGTGAAAGCTTTTTGCTGTGTTTCTTCTGTCTCTTAAGTTCCGGCCTTTTGGTCTAAAATCCAAAAGATCTGTCTTTGTCTTGTCTTTCCAAGACAATTCTGAAAAGTTTCAGCTCTCTGGCAGTTAGCCGGCAAGAAGGTTACCAGTATTTTACATTGTTGTCCTGTTGCAGATAGCAAGAAGGAAAACAAAACAAACACCACCTCTTTTTCTGATGTTTTCTACTACTTGCTTTCTCTGTCTTGTTTTATCTGAGCTGCTATTGAGCGTATGACCATTTTATGCAGCTTCTGTGTTACACTGCTAGTAAAGCTATAATCTGTCACCTTCTCTGGCTTTACAGCTTGGTTAAAAATTATTTTTCTCAATTCTCAGCGTCTGGGATTATTTTTGTCATTTCTCTAGATAATGTTATGAAGGCAGTTCTTGTGAAAATCTGAATACTTTGCAATTAAATAATGTTTCATATTTCTGTCTCTACAGGGCATTCCAGGAGTTGGGAAGGAACAAGCTTTAAAGTTAATTGAGACTTTGCAAGGTCAAAACTTATTGCAAAGGTAAAATGAAAATTTATGTTGTATGCTGAAGTACTTTGATTTTATTCAAAGACTTGCTGGTATGTACTTCAGCTCCAAGACAATGTTTGTAGTACTTTAATTTGGGGGTGGGAAGAGATTACCACATTCCTTACTTTGCTTGCTAAATAAATTATGTGTTTTGCTAGGCAAGCTTCTTAATTGTTTTAAACATTGGCTCGCTCCTAGCTCTTGAGCTAGCAGGTGTATGTTGATATATTGGAAAGGAAGTCATAGGGACTGATGAGAGACTTTTGCTGATTTTTAATTGGGCTGTGGATCAGGAGATGAGATACCAAATGCTTTTTATGTTTGTTATCATAATGTGCGTGTCAGTACTAGAAATCCAACAATCATATAGTGTACTTTAAAAAAATCTGTTTCATAAATTAGAAAACTCTTATTTCTTGGGTAGATGCCTGAGAAGTATAAAGGGAGTGTTTTTCAGTGTTTAAGTATGAAAGTTAAAAATATTAATCCTTTTAATATCATCCTTTTAGGTTTGAGCAATGGAAAGAATTTCAGTATGATAATAATCCACCTGTGGTTGTTAAGAGGGTGATTCACTGCTCTGAGTGCCATCATCCAGGTCAGTGTGAAAATATTTTTAGCCTTATCAATTGTTTACTTTTTGTTTTGGGTGTGTGGAGTGTGGCATGGTAGGTTTGTTTTTGTTTTGTTGGTCTGGGGGTTTTTAAGCATTAAAAACAGGGTTTTTTGTCATTCAGCTTCTGGGCTATCTTCACATTTTCAGTATTGTATGTATGTATCTTTATACAAATATTTTAGAGGCTGGAGACTACCTTTCTTCAAATGTGAAACTAGTTGATAGCAGATAAAATGTTAACAGAATGCTGTTGTGTGATCTCGGATATTTGCCTTTTTAACATTATCAGTAATGAAAGTACATGATACTGAGAAGCAACTGTTTCTTTAGTTACCTGAATTAGTCTTGCATCAAGAGGACTGAATCCGTTAGCATTGCTGGGTTTTGCTGCAGTGTTGTCTTAAAAATAAATTAATCTTTTGGAACCTCATTTTAATAGCATCTTTGATCAGTGAACTTGTTAAAACCCATCACTTGGAGAAGGAAAAGCTTGTTTCAAATATGTTCCTTGTATACATTTGTCACAGACTGCTGCTGTAATTTTTAGGTGATAAAATTTTCAGCATAAGGTGTGAAACATAGGGAGAAAGTCTTCAAAAAAAAATGAAAGCTTGCATTTATTTGTCAGGTTTCACTGTAGATTTATAAATACAGCTAATGCTCTCAGACCTACTTACAGCTACTATTCATGTCAGATTCATATATGTTCTGAGCTTTGTTAGCTTTGTATATTTGGAGATTTTGGAAACCTTTTCTCCTTACACTTTGTGCATCTGCTCCTATAGGATCTTGCAAGGAACATGAGCACAGTGGCTGTAAACTCTGTGAAAGCACTAGATACTGCAAACCCACTGACTCCAAACACTGCTGCCCTTGTGAATGGCATCAGTTAGAGCGAATGAAGCAAGCAAGAGCAGTGGAGGACAATATCAGAAAGTAGGAGTGTCTTGAAATTTAACTGCTTTTCCCTGCATTCATGTGCAGGGTGAGCGTTTTAATTCTTCATTTTTCCCATTTGTTTTCAGTTCCTAACACGTTTGTTTTACCTGCAGAAAAGCTAACAGTTGTGAGGGCTTTCCATTCTCTGAGGTAACAAATAAGCCTATTTAAAGATTAATTTTTTTAATCAATTAATGGAAGTTTTGGTTTTCTGCCCTCTCTTACACTCTTTTTTTGTTTTATCTCAAGGTTATCCAAGAATTTCTTGTAAACAAGAATAAATTGATCGAGATAAAGGAATGCCAAAGGCCAAACTTATTATCCTTTCAGGTATGAAACAAAATACTGATTATTCACCTCTTTCGGTTTTTTTTTTTTTACGTAGTGAGGAAGGCATCTGTAACAGTTTTGATCTTCATTGGTAAATTTACTGGAAAAAAAAGTTAAAGAATCTTCCTACAACTTCTTAATTCGTTTTTTGAAAGTCTAAAATTGAAGACTGAAAAAAAACAGTTGATGTAAGTTGTTATGTAAAAAAGCATAAGAAAGAGAACTTGGAAGAAGTGTAGCTTGCCGTTGTTTTCTTTTTCACTATTCAGTATGACTAGATAGGGTTGCCAAACTGCTGCATTATCTATATAGCGTATAGAGTACTGTATGGTTCTATGACATACTATACACTTCAGGTACATTATGAAAGTTGATGAAAGAAAAAAATAAAAGGTGTAGACAGATACAGCTCTTGTTTTTACTCATACTTGTTTCATCCTCATACCGACATAGTACATATATGGTATTATAGCTAATCATGGTTGTGGATTTTTTTAATGTTAAACTTTATTTTCAATGATTTTTTGAATATTACTGAGATAACCAGGTTCTGTATCTAACAAGCAGAAGCGGCTTTTATTCTGAATGTTGCCTGTTTTCCCAAAAACAGCAGGCTTGTATTTAGCACAATACTACCAGCTTTCAAGTTCAGAGGCCCTTTAATTCAAAGTGCTTAAAGCTCAAAAGTGGTCTGGCTTATTCCTCTGCCTGTAGAAGGAAGGAAAAATATCCTGTGAGGCTTTTTTATGGGAGGGGCATGGATCAGAGAAGAGTGTTAATATATATATGCATGTTAGCATTGTTTTCTAAGAGTGATTTTTATTTTTTATTGGTGAAAGCAGATCTTTTACAATGTTTCATTTTCAGGGATGGATTGACAGCGTGAGAATTATGTATAGCATAATAAACTGTTGTTGAGCAGCGTAGCTTTAATGAAAATCCACGTTCATCCTTCTCTCACATGCAAAATCCAGAATTTTCACAGCTCCTTTCATAGCAGATCTGAATCTGATAAGGTGTTTAGCAACTGTCTTATCCCTGCTGCTGCCACTACACAACTGTTCCCTTGTCTTGTTATGGAGAGCTGATGAATCTGTCCTGTTACAGGTGACTGTTCCCTCCCTTGGCAGTGAGATATCGTTACACTAATGTCTCAAAGCGTTCTAGATACTTAAAGTATTTTGTCCTGTGTCCCTACTATATAGCTGTGTAAGCATGATATCTAACAGAATAAGAAAATTTTAAAGTTTGGGGTGGTTTGTTTTGTTTTGTTTTTTTTTTTTATCCTAACAGATATTTGCTTCTGAGAAGATGGAATGGACCAAAGATTATGCTTGTAAGAAACTGTTAACGCTATTGACACGTTATGATATGATCCAGAGACAATCTGGATACATTAATTCAAAACAACTGCAGGCAATACGGTAATGTATTTGATTTCTTGAACTTAATATGTTTACTTCTGCTGCTGGAGGAAAGTCGTGGGGTTTTTCATTTTTTTATATAAATATAATTATTGTCTTCCATCTGTGTTCTAAGCTTTGTGCTCATTTTGAATAGAAGTAAACATTTAGATCAGTACACTACTGCTGCACAAAGTAATACATATAGCAGTTGTCTTTCATTCTAACTGACACAATTATACTACTGCTGCACAAAGTAATACGTATAGCAGTTGTCTTTCATTCTAACTGACAATGCCTCCTTTTTCCTATGTTTACTCTCTATTCTGTTTTCTTGAATCTGCATGTGAGATTTAGCATCACAGGTTTGATCCTCTGCTTAGGTTCTTAGAAGTTCAGTTGGCTTCTGTGACTCAAAATAAGAGCCTGGACTTAGAAGTAAGCATCTACAGATTCAGTCATGGTCTCTGATTTCTTATCAGACCTAGCGACTGTCATTATACTATGTGTCTGATTAAATTATTGGCTTACAGTTCTATTTTGCTATGCCGCCTTCTCAAAACAATGTTTTCATTCAGGACTGCTGCATTTAGGTATATAAAAATGGCCAAGTATCCTGTTACCTAAAAATGGATGTGCAGGGAAAAAAACACAAGACAAGCACACTTTCCCCTAGAATACTTTCTCACCATCCAGGTTCCTGTTATGCAGGGGTGTTCTGAGGCAGAAAAAGTACCTTGTTATTCTCTCAGCCCTCAATGTATTTTTTTTTTCTTAAATGATCTAATATTTTCTTAAACTTACGTAAACTTATAGCATGGGCAAATCTGAACTTAACTTCACCATGTGAAGGGAATTGTGACTTATTTTCACTTTAGTATCTGGCAGTTTCATTTCCCAAATGAAACCCAGATTTTCTCCCCACACACAAATTCTTGTATTTCAAGAAGGTTAGTAGTTTCTCTATGTTTGTTGATGCTGTTCAAGATTTTATAGACCTGAATTTTGGGGGACAGGACAGTCAGTAGCAATGTGACTGTATCTCTTCTGGGTTGATGTGTCATAGTCGTAAATTATTACTTGCAGAGAAGCTGTTCTATTCAGTGTTATCTTTCAAAAGAGTGGAGAAACTGGTTGGGGGCTGCTTTTTAAGTGGCTTGGCTAGGTAAATGATCAGCATTTACCTTGACCAGTGAATGAATTGACATCCTTTGTTTATAACACTTTCTAGGGTTTCAAGAGTTTAAAAGACAGATATGTATGCTCTAAAAGATTTCCTGTATTAACAAATGTTTAAAAACACAGTAATAATCCAGCAGGAGCCTCTTCACACCCAGGAACCTATTAAACTGGGGTGTAGATAATGTCTTCAGAAAATTCTCATAAGGACTGACTGTCTGTGCACAGTTCATGTTTTATCTTCCTTCATGCTCTCATGCAAAAGACACAAATGACCCTGTCTGGTCACTCAGAAAATTACTCTCTATGGCAGCAGCCTTCTCTGTGGCATAGTTAAAGATAACAAGCTGATGTTTGTAGGATTCTGTGTTATGGTTGTCTGTTGCAGCTTTTTGATTTCATTAAAAAACAAAGTTTTAGTACTCAAATCTAGACACAAAATTTTATGGTATAACTTATACAGAGAAGTAGTGTATTTTTTTAAAAGGTGTATTAATTTCACTATTACAAGAGTTTTTTCTTCTGAATCATTACAAATTAGAGTATTGAAATATTTTTTAGATAACTTGGATTTTTCATTTTCTGTTTAAACAAAATAATTTCAAGAGCTTCTTTTTGCTCTTACAGGATAGTCAAGACACGAATTAAAAATGGAATTCCTTGTTTTGAAATTGAGTGGCAAAAACCAGGTTGGTCTGGTTTCTGTGTACATTATGGAACAAAACAGTTCATACGAAAAGAGAAAAGCGTGCTTTAAAGAGGAAAAGAATTTGGCAATTTTATGAGGAAGTGAAATGTGTGCAAGGTTGGAAACTGTTCTATGGAAACAATAGAAAATGTGCATCAAATGACAGTAAAAGCAGTGCTTTAAAAAAAACAAACCCCAAACATCTACCTAGACAGCAGGGGACTCTGTCTTCAGGTACTTTTTCTGGTACATGGTAATGAGACCTGGACTCTGTATTTCGTATCTTATTTCACTATGTACCTGAAGCTGTGTCTGTTCACTAGCTAGAAATTTTTCTGTGCTGACAGACTTTTACCTTTAGTGTGCCCATTTGTGCCAGGAGACTGGTAGAAAGAGAGACTTTTACTTGTAGCTAAATCTTGAACATTGTAACATTGTACTATTGACCTTTTTATATACCTTCTTTGTACTCAAATCTTTTCTTATTGCTTACTTTGATACGTGTTTATATGCATGTCTGTCTAATGTACATTCACTGATTTTTTTAATTTTTTTATTTTTTTTAGAACATTATGTTGATGCAGAAGATGAGCCTGCGGAGTTGTCTGTAATCACAGTAGAGGAGGAGTCTTTGTTTCAGGCTGCTTACCCTGATGTTGTTGCCCTTTATCAAGTGGAAAAGTCAGAAATTCTGAAGAAGAAACAGAAAAGTAAGTCCGAAGCTTATTTCTTACGAATTTACGGGTCTTGCCAGAATACAAGAAGCAAAAGCAAGAAACACTTCTCCCACTGTTGAGCAATATCATGTTTTGCCAAGAATGGGGCATGATATCTTGCAGGGACTGTGTTTTATCTTGCCATTTTATACTTTAACACTAGGAAATCTGAACTGTGGTTAATATAGCATTTTGATATGCCCTTTTTACTTTTTTCAGCCAGGAAAGACGGACCAAAAGAAAAGAAATTATCAAATATTGATGATGAAGTTAGCAATCTTCTGTCTCAAATGAATTTAAAATCTAGATTTCTTCCTATGCAAGACTCCACATCAGATATAAACAGCTCCCCGGAAGATGAGATGCATCAGAGAAGTACTGAATCAAAAGATCTGGCGTTAGCTTCAGCGTCCTGCATAAAAACAGTTCAAATTCCAGCATCAGCAGCTGCTCTTCCTCTGGCTGCGCCGCCTTACTCGCTCTTCCCGAGAACATTGGCTGACTCATCTATATTGCCAGCAAAACTTACTAAAAATTCAGCAGTATCATCCTCTTCCTCTGTAACAGCTGGTCTACAACTGAGCAGTATTGCTTGGGACAGCACATCACTAGCTCATAGGGGTGATACACGTGATGCAGCATCTGACTTAACTACATGCATAAAACACTCACATCCACTAGGTCATGAAACAGTAAGAAGTAGCTCAGAATATTCTGATGCTATGCAGTCTGATCAACATCATTCTGATGGTGCAGATGATGTGGTTTCAGATGATGCTGTGGGGCAAGTTCAGAAGTGGTCTATAAGTGAGCGAATACTCAAGAAGACTTCCATTCTATCAAAGCCTCTGTTGTCTGAAGGTGTAATGCAAATGGAGTCTTTGAAATGTTTTAAACAAACAAATGAAGCATTGAATCCTGATAAAGACTATGGCTCTTCCTCGTGTCAGTTAAATAAACTAGTGCAGGGAAGTAAAAATGTGCTGTCAGAAAACTATGCAAGAGAATCTATCACGCACATTTATCAAGATCAGCAGAAAAAAGCTGACAGCCTGGCTGGAGTGATGCAGAAAGACCATAATGTAAGCACTTCAATATCTCCAGCCGTCTGTGGGCAAACAACAGAGACACTGCATCCTGAGTGCAAAATGCTGCCAGTGTTTCAAAAGCAAGCAGATGGTGTAACTGGCTGTCACATTAAAAAACCTTGTATTCAAACTACTGGGAAAACTTCTTTTAAAAAGAGTGTGTGTCAGAACAGGTGTTCCTCTAGTGAAGACAGTGATGATGGGAACATGAATAAAAATCTGATCTATGAGCAGCAGAAAAGACAACCGAACCCTGGGCAGTTTAAAAAATGTTTTACCAAGAAAAGGAGTAACGTTGTTACTAGCCGAACAACAAACAGTGACTCAGCCCTTATCATTAAAGGGAAGGAGAAAATGGCCAATTTTAAAAAAGCTGGTAATAGTTTCTCATTGCAAGTATCTCCAAAACCGTCCTCTACAGAGGAAGTTAATTGTTCCCAAAGTCTAGAGCAACCACTTGAGAAGTCAGGTTCTGGTCCCACGCAGCAAGCCAGAAGTGCTGTTCTGACTTACGCATGGGCAGACAGTCCACTTCCCCTGTCTGAAAGACTAAAAGGAAGAATCAAAAGCAATTAGGTTCTCCATAAAATAGATTACGATAACAATTAACTCTGAACCTTCACCTCTTAGAATTCTTTCTCCAAGTTTCTGCAGTATGCTCTATCAATTTGAAGTGGACACAGCTTTGATGAATAAGAAGTGCTGCGAAATACTGCACGCTGGAGCTACAATTTGAAATTAAAATGTTAGCAGAAGTACCAAGTAGATGATTATCAGCAAGTGACACTTATTCTGGGCTTGACTATGTTCTAAACTTGATGCAAGCATCGGGATATATTATACAAGGGAGTGGGGAGGTTTATTTACATAATAGAAGTTTTTTCCCAGCCAATTGTGAGGATTTTGTGTACAGCTATTAGTCCTGCTTATAAAAACATATGTAATAAAACAGTACCTGCACTGCTGTTGGATATTCTTAATGAGACAAAGTGATACAGCTCTTTCCAACTGAATTTTTCCATTCTGCTCCCCTAACTTACTTTTGCTAGTTTTAAAATGGGTTTTCAAATCCTGGGATTCCTGGGATGCTGATTGTGTTGATTATCTCTGAAGGACCAGATAGAGATGCACTGCAGATGTGCCTTGCAGGGTAGCTAAATTTATATCTGCCATGCCCTATAATAAATTGTTCTTGGAGTGCATGGATCTACCAAAGAATGGAATAAGCCATGTAAGGATATTCTGGTTTTGTACATGTCATATCTAATATTTAAGGAAATTTGATGGCTGTTTTAATCAAACATTTATAGTTTGGAGTATTTTTTTTCTTAAAGAAGATATGAAATTCCATCTAACACTTCTACTTATAACGGAATGAAGGTTAAGTTACAGAAAATCAAAATCTAATTATGATATTGCAAATTCTTTTAATAATATTGTGTAAATGTTTGTTTCTAAAGGGGCAGCTTGAGTACAATTGCATTTTTGAAGATGTTCTTCCTACCCCTTAAATATAGAAGCAATCTCTCTTCATACACAAAAACAAGGTTGTCTTCAACAGCTTATTAGAAGCTGTGTCCTTGCCTGCATTTAAGTGTTCATAACTTTTTCTATGGACCAAGCAGAAGTAAGGCCACTCTTACCAAGATATAATGTTAACAATAGAAATTAAGAATATCCATGCCTTAATGAAAATGTCAATTCTTTCTTCATAATGGCCAAGGCTTCATAAGTTAGGAAGCTAAATTCCAGATGTGTTTACAGAAGAAATAGTCTATGGATAATACAAATTGTAATTAGCCAAAGTGGTAGGTTTTTTTTTTTTTCCCCCTGTAGGCAGATGGAGAAAGTTTGTCTATAGTTGATTTTCCAAATGAGAATGTGTTATGGAAATGAGCAAAAAATCCAAAATATTGGAAACTTATTTTCTGTTTTGAAGATGGTCTCTCTTGTGGAGACTCTTAACTTCCCAGCTGATGTGAGAGTGTAGCTAGAAGAACAGAATTGCTAAGGAGAATAAGAGTAGCAGTCACCTGGGGACCATAAATGGAGAGATTGGTGGTCAGTAGTGGAGAGATCAGGTCCTTCTTTTGTGGAAAAACATTGTTACTGGTGATGTATGATTCTTGTTGCTGATTTTGAATACTGAAAGTTGGAATCAAGAGTTTGAATTTTTATTAATAAAAATTCCAACATCATGTGAAAGACCTCACTTTTGTTCCCTCCCAGTGTATGAGAATGCACCCTTTTTTTGGAAGGATCATAAAATTTCACCCACAGTGTGTGGGTTTTTGTGTTTTAGGATTTTGTTTGGAATTGATGGGCAAGAGTTTTTGGAGGGTTCTTTGTTTTCCAGATCTGCCTGGGATGACTGCTTTAATGGAGGATTTGCTGAAAATACTGTGCCACAATTATTACAAGATCATGTTTTGTGGGTAATGAAAGCCAGAAATGGGATATAATCATAAGACATTAAGAACTGCAGAAGAAAAAAAAAAGTGACTATGTTGCTGATATCACTGCAAATTAATCTGGTTTCATAAGTGTACAATTCAAGCATGAAAAGCAGAAAAATTTCAATTTTTGCATTTGCAGTGCATCTAAATTTTGTGTAAGTTTTCTGTCACTACCTTAGAAGCAACAATAGATGTACAAACAGCAAATAAATGCAAGAACATTTATTGTTGGGGGTGACTGTTGCTTGAATTAAATTTGTGATTCATTACAGAAGGGAAATTGATTTCTCATCTTTCTGTAATTTACTCAGTCTAAGGATTAGAGATTATTTTGGGGAATGTTTTTACCATGCCAAAGCTGTCTCCTTTGCAACCTCTTACACTTGTGAAGAAAATGTTTAAATAAGTTGAGAATGTAACAAATAACTTTCTTCTGCAGGTAGTATTCCTAGAAGATTGTGTTAAAGTGGTTGTAAGTGTAAATGAATGTGGTCCATCAGCCCAATGACCCTAAATATCATTTGGTCAGCCCAAACAGGTGCTGTGAGGGTGCTTCATCTAAAGTAATAAAACTATATAAATAAGCTAAAAATATATATAAATAGGTAAAGAAAACTATGGGGATAAGGCAAGTAATGGATACATCATTATTAAAGTACTCTCTGAAAGTTTTTCTGCAGAACTGGTGTACTACCCCAAGTACTTTACCTGATCTATCTGTCACTCTTGATGTTGACGTCTGTCTAGCTTGAATGATTCCTGCAATGATATGGAGCAGATCCATTATTTCCAATTATAAACAGTATTAAACATCTACTTTGATGTAGCAAATTTATTTAGCATAGATTAACAAAGGGAAACATTTATTTCGCATTCCTTGTGACTGTAACTTCCTCACTATTTCAGGTCTTTGAGGGATCAACCAGAAAGATAAATAAATACTGTTTACATGGAAAATATACATAGAGAGCTACAAAAAATATAAAGTAAAAAACAAACAAAAAAAAAGCCAAAAAAAACCCATAACCAAACCCCTCAATGTCTAGATACCCCATTATCAAGCTACATTTGCTCTCTTTTTTTCATTGGATTATATTACTGAAATACTTATCTACATGTGTGAACTTCCTTAACAGAAAGAAAAATTTATTTTCCTAGTATTTATCAATTTCTACTTCAGTGAGGGAATTAATGAATTCAGTAAACCTTTTGGCCGTTAACAGAGAGATTTCCTAATTTGAGAAAAGGATTATTAAACTTTGAGGATTTACAGAGGCTTTGCTGTGTGCTCGTATGTCAAGAAAGAAACTTGGAAAAGACAGTGGTGAACAAGACTAATGGCAGCTGTTACTTGAGACAAGATAAAGTCTTTTCATGTCTAAAAAGGTGTCAAACCCTGCCGAATTATATCAGCAGATGAAAGGAAACTGTGGTTAGAATATTATTGAGAGTTGTTATAAACCTAAGTGCTACTGACACAACAGTAAACTCAGTGCTAGATTTAGCGCTTTTTCCTTCAGGAAACAAAACACTTTAACTGTTTCAAGAAAACAAAATTACGATGGGTGATAGAACCACTCTTTGCACAGTTCTCCTGCTCCCATATCCTACATCATAGCTACTATCAGTACTGAACTTAGTTTAACTTAATAAGATTAATCACGTATCAAACTTTGAAAGTTCTTCAAACCCAAGCCTTGTCTCCACTCCCCGCCCCAATTTCCCTTGATGGGGTTGCAGAGAGTTTGTCACTTCAAAGACTGAGCACAGCTGGGACATACCGTTGAAAATTTTGCTCCCTGAGAACAGCTACCTGTACTAACATACCACCTGATGGATATTTAAAATTATTAGCTGTCTGACTAAAGTACAGTGAAGGAAAAGCAGCTAACCATGGATATTTTTTTTGTGCCAAGATAGTGTAGAAGTAGTTCTACATTAGTATTTCTGTCATTTTAAATTGCAGTGTGCTCTGCTGCAGCACCTCCCCAGCCAAGCTCGAAGCCAAATTAGTTCTCCTACCAAACATTCTTGACAAAGTTTGGGCAAGCTATGGGTATTCTGTAGGATGTGGTGGGAACAACTGTGAGCAGGGTTTCCTTTGAATCAATTTGTGAGCAACCTAGATGAACCTTTACCTGTCTTCTTCCTCCATCCCAACATCCCAGTGCTGCCCTGGCAGTGATACCAGGTAACAAGTAACAGACTGTCAAGATAGCCCAAACCCTAGAAATGTTCTTGAGATTTTTCTGCTGAAAAACCGTGATATGTGTGGCCTCATTTCAGGTCAAATTCAGGCTGTCTTCCAGTCCATCACGAATGCCGGGTCTCAGAGCAGTTTTAGCCTTTAAGCCTCTGTTGCTCAGTCCACTGTGATGAGTTGTAGACGTTTTCTTTGAATCTTTTGCGCTTGTGAGATAAATTCGCCACCTCATCTGCAGCTGGGTGGAAAAGAGCCCTGTGCTCAGCCTCCGGTTCCCCAGGGCCTGGAGTTCAGTGGAACAAAGGGCTCCAGGAGTCATGTGCACACCTACTGTACAGGGGCTTTATAAGACTTTTCATGCAGACTAATATGTTGCTATTTTTTGTAATTGTTGAATGGCCTCTTTACCAAAGAAGACCTGCCAGTTAGAAATGGGGGAGATGGTCTGTTTTCTTGTAATTAGTTACAGGGCGGATGTCTCAGTATGACCTAGGAAGACACGGTGGAGAAGGACATCATCTTTTATGCGATGCTGCTGAAGGAAAGGGCAATTAGCAGTTCATAGATGACTGTGTGGCACTGGGACAGTTATATTAATTGCATTTTTCTATACCTAAATTGTTTTTGTGGTTTAACTGTGGGTAAATCTTTCTTCTCTGCAGGAAGCTTGCTTAGCAGTACAGGCTGCCAGTGTCTTACATTCTGAGTTTATAGAAATCTGAAAGTTTCCTGAGAGTGTGTAACCAGAACTACTGCCTGGTAAACTTCATCAGGCCTCTCTTACTCTGTTGGATAGACCAGAAGAATGTGGAGTGTCTTTCTCATAGAAGTTCTTAATAAATAGAGAATTTCAGCTGGAAAAAAAAAAAAAAAAAAGGAGAAAAGTGCCTCAGTGCCCTTCTTGGTCTGGATGGGTT